AGACAGAGAGAGATGGAAACAGAACCGCCCCAGTAGAAACCATGAGAGCGCCGACACGCCGGGAAAAGGGAACCGTCACCGCACCGCTCGTGTGGCCCTCGTTCAAGGAGAGCCGACGTCCCTGTGCACACATTCACCAAAAGCACGATGGAATAATAAAAGGCTAGGCCGGTGGCTTCAGGTGTACAGGACATCGATTTGGAAGGACTTGCCAGAGTACAAAATAGAGCAGAAGATAAGTTTGCCACCAATAATTCACCACCATTCCTCTCTGTCTGTAAATATTGAACTCTCCTCCTTTGCTCAATCACTCGTGGCTCCAAAGATTGAAGATGATACAGTCTAGTGATGCTCTAACTTTCTATGTGTACCAAGTTTCCTCTGCGATGTTGTTGTTTTTAGGTGCTATCCAGTCAGTTCCACCTCACAGCCACCCTAAGTACAACGGACCGAAACACAGTCATGCGCCGTGGTTATATTCGAGCCCCTGTTGCAGCCATTGTGTCCATCCATCTGAGCGAGGGCCTTCCTCTTTTCCACTGCCCCTCTCCAGGGACTGGTCTCTTCTGACAACGGGTCCAAAGTACATGAGGCATATTTGCTTCCAAGGAGCATTCTGGTTGTACTTCTTCCAAGACAGATGTGCTGGTTCTTTTGGCAGCCCGTGGTGCTTTCAGTGTTCTTTGCGAGCACCGCACTTCAAATGCACTGATTCTCCTTAGGCCTTCCTTAGTCAGTGTCCAATTTTCATAAGCATCTGAGGTGGTTGAAAATGTCATGGCTTGGGTCGGGTGCACCTGAGTCCTCAAAGTGACATCCTTGCTCTTCGACACTTTAAAGAGTTCTTTTTGCAGCACATTTACCCTGTGTAATGTGTCACTTGATCTTTTGACTGCTGCTTCCCTGAGCACTGATTGTGGATCCAAGCAAGACAATATCGAGTCATAATCCACACTGAAGGCTGAAGTCCTTGATCTTCATCGGCAAGTGCTTCCAGTCTTCCGCAATTCGAGCAAGCAAGGTCGTGTCATATGTATATTAGAGGTTGTTACAAGCCTTCTCTAAACCCGATACCACGTTCTTCTTCACAGAGTCCAGCTTCTCAGATGATTTGCTCAGCATACAGATTAAATCAGTATGGTGAAAGGCTGTACCCTGCCTGACACACACCCGTCTTAATTTTAAACCACGCAGTATTTATTTGTTCACACAACCATCTCTTGATCTATGCACAGATTTAGCATGAGCACAATTAAGATAGGAGGAGGTTTAAAGCTGTCGGATTGATCTTCTAAGATGGTTGGGTTACAGC